CCACCTGGTTTCCCAGCACCAGTAGGTGGTTTTCAGCAGAGGCAGCCTTTCCAGGCTAGACAGGGGCCAGCCCCACAGTAGCAGCCCTACCAGCCTAGGCAGGTGCAACCATTCCAGCAGCCCCAGCGCCAGTTTGCTGAGCCAGCAGCAGCCCCTGCCCCAGATGACCGGATGACAAAGTTGGAAAATATTCTAGCTTCGTTCATGACTAGCACTCAGGCTGCTATCACGTCACTGGAGGCAGGTCAGAGGAACCAGGGTGCCATCTTGCAAGATCTGCAGACCCAGGTGGGCATCTTAGCCTCACTAGGTTGGACCAGAGCATAGCCTCACTAGAGGCAGGTCAGAGGAACCAAGGTGCCATTTTGCAAGATCTGCAGAACTAGATGGGTAGCTTGGCTCGCCAAAACACTACCAGGGCACCGGGGACTCTGCCTGCCACCACTATCCCGAATCCTCAGGATCCTCCAGCTCCAGCAGCTGGATGCCATTTTTACCAGGAGCGGTAAGACCATATCTGCTGATCCTGTCCCGGCCAGACAAGAGGAACCACTACCTGCTTCAGTACTTCCAGCCGACGATGCAGAAGTGCAGGTGGAGAAGGAAGCCCCTGCTCCCAAGCCACAACCAGTGGTTAAGGAGCATGTACCCCAGCTTCCCTTCCCCACTCGCCTACACAAAGACAAGCTGGAGACTGAGTTTGCCAAGTTTATGGCAATGTTGAAGCAGCTCAACATCAGCATACCGTTCATGGAGGCACTGTCGAAGATGCCCAAGTATGCCAAGTTCATGAAAGATCTCCTCACCAACAAAAAGAAACTTGAGGATCTCTCGACAGTGTTGCTGAGTGAGGAGTGTTCTGCTATCTTGCAGAACAAGCTGCCCGAGAAGCGAAAAGACCCAGGGAGTTTTACTATCCCTCTTACTATTGGCAGCATGCATGTAGGCAAGTCCTTGGCGGACCTAGGCGCTAGCATAAATGTCATGCCATATAAGTTGTATAAAAAGCTAGACCTAGGTGAACTTAGCCCTACTAGGATGAGCATTCAGCTAGCTGATCGTTCCATTGTGCATCCTAGGGGAATCATAGAGGATCTGCTTGTCAGTGTCGGTGCATTCACATATCCTGTTGATTTTGTTATTCTTGATGTACATGAGGAAGTGGATGTGCCTTTGATTTTGGGTAGACCATTTCTTGCCACCGCCAAGGCTCTTATTGATGTGCATGATGGTAAACTTATCCTGCGTGATGGGAATGAACAGGCTACTTTTTCTGTGACTGAATTTGACCACTGTGCTATGATTGCTGTCACGCCTGTACATGCCATTTCTGATCAGGTACACGAGCCTGTCGTGTATCCTTCTGCACCTCTTATTTTGCAGGACCCTCCTATCATTCCTTCGCCGCCACTCCATCCAGCCTCGCCTCCGAACAAAAAGCTCAAGGAGGAGTGGCGGCCGAAGCAGCAGGTTGCAAAGCCTGCACGGAAGAAGAGTGGAGACCACTATGAGCTGGTCCCACCTCCTGCACCACGACCACCCTGGCCGTCCGGGTACTCACTCGCCTGCATCTTGCCAGATGGCCAGGTCGAGCTGACCGATGATGGTGGTCGCACCCGTCGGGTGCATGGCCACAACCTAAAGCTGTACCTCAAGAGCGACGTGGATCCGCTCTTGGAGGCACCTGTTCCTGCACCTCCCTGAGTATCTACCATGGGCGTCCAGCTAAAAGACGGTAAAGAAGCGCTTGTGGGGAGGCAACCCCACCACGGTTTGATTTTCTTTCTTGTGTTTTGAGTCGGATTGTAAACCAGTTGGTTTTGGTTTGTTTTCTTTTGTTTTGGATGATGTCTTATTGGGCTGACATTAGACCTAACATATTGTGTTTGAGCCCATTGGTTTCCTTGGGCTGTGCTTGTCTTGACTGGTCCTCTCTCCAGTCCGCTTCACTCCGACTGGTCCGCTTCCAGTCTTCTGCAGCCGTGCATCCCGGTAACATCGTTTCCCTTTTCCTTCCCTCTTCTCCGTTGAGAGCAATGTCGATCTTAAGTGTGGGGGGATGTTTATCTTTTGACTGCATTAGATCTGTTTGTGTGCTTGGAGCCTAGTCCACTGTCCAAATTTTTAACAAATTTTTAAATTTGAGGGCTCCAAGTACGTGTTTCCGTGCAATTGCCTGCTCAGTATGCTTTGAATTGACAGTCGTTATAGTAATATGCAACCTAGGGAGGTAGTGTAGCACTATGGAGGATGTTGATGCATTTAAGAAGTCTCATTTCTTCTTCATATTGTGTTGGTTGATTGAGTGAATTAGTGATCTTAGGACCCTTGAATTGTGTGGTGTTGTGGATTCTCTACCTGTCATGGACTCTTGTTTCATGTCTTGAAAATAACAGGTGCTCGAAAATGTGCTTCAAAATAACGTCTCCCGTGCGAATAGGGCGAAAGTGTGTAAGGGGAGACGGGAATCCGTTCCCAATTTCCACCTACTACCTCTAGCCCCCTTACATGTCTTTCCCCCGCACGAGGCTCGATACATCCGCTCCTGGCATGGCCGGTAAGAGCAGGTTGGGACCCTTGAAAAAAAAACAGAAAACAAGCAAAACAGGAAGAAAAGGGGTTCCAACCATCCTTAAGAAGAAAATAGAGCACCTTGAAAAATGTGAGTCCATGATCATTTGTTTTTGAGAATCTCTTCATCCACGATTCATTTGTCCTCTATTCACTATTTGCCATGATGCCGACTCGATACTTGTGCTCTCGCCGAAGAAGCTATGAGGTGACTTGTGCGTCGGTTGACCTCGTAAGCTGCTAAATGATCTAGGAAATCCTCTACCTACGATCTGGGTTGTTTGTTGCTATAGGGGTCTGGAGAGTTGCATTGGTTTGAGTTAGGTTTGCTTGGGGACAAGCAAACGGTTAAGTGTGGGGGAGTTTGATAGACCGATAATTACATATATTTTCACCCCTATTCTTGAGCCGTTTGAGAGGTTGACTCTCTGGTTTTAAGCCGATTTCACGCGAGGTTTTGTGTTTATGTCATATTTCAGGACCCGGCGTTGGAATCGAGGCGAAGGAACGAGATTCGGGTCGAAAGGAGCAAGTGAGGATTGAAGTGGGCTGGAGGAAGAAAATACCCGGCCATGACCATAAATACCCGGCCGGGTATTATTCTGAGGAGACCGAGGATTTTCCCTTTTGGCGTCTGAGAAACAGGGGGGGTCCCGGTCTGGCAGGCAGAAATCCCCGACCGGGGATTATTGGATGAGACCGGGTATTTTTCCCCTGGCCAAAACGTGCGTTTTAACTATACCCGGTCGTGACCCAAAATACCCGACCGGATATTTCGACCGGGTATCGCGACAAGCAGCTGTTTTAAGGGAAAAGAAGGCTGAAAATCAAGGGATTCGAGTTTTAGAGAGACAGAACGATTCCTAGAGAGAGAAAGCGACGAACAAGAGTCACCAAGTGCCCTAGATTGATCTTCATCACCATTGGAGGCCAGTTTGAGCTTGGAGAAGTGCCGATCAACGTCCAGGAGCAGGAATCCATCCTTCACAGTATGAATTCCGCGTCTGATTCTGCTTTTGCTTCTTTCTCCATGGAGTAGTTCTCCCATTCATCTGGGTATGGAGAACCCTAGATTTGTATGTTAAGCTTTGATTGTATGAACCCAAGTACTGATTCTATGATTTGATTATATTCTATTGAGGTTTGAATGATTGAATGACTTGAATCCTGATCAAATTCCTGTTGTTTCTGCTTTGACCTAGAATGAGAATATCTGCCTAGGTTGATAGAGCATCCTTGATTGAAGGTAGGGAGTTGGTGACTTTAGTCGAGGAGCCAACTCACTATTCTGTACCGGATTTACTCCGGTAGTGGAGGTTTTGTTTGTTAAGGCCTCAATCTGTTTACTCCGGTGGAGGTTAGTCGCCCGCTAGAGAATTGAGAGGCTCTGAAGACCTTTAGTCGAGACTTCAGGCTGTTTAAGAACCTTCCGCAGTATAACTATCATAGAACTGAACTTGGTAATTATAATCCGGCTTAACTGCAGTCTAGGGGGAACCATATCCGGGTGACCTCTCTTAACCTGAATACAACAGTTTACTTGCTTTGTTAGTTTGTTAGTTTAGACTTGCATTAAAGTTTCATTGCTAGATAACAAGAATTCACTGAGTAGTCATCAAATCTAGGACCCGGGTTGATAATTAAACCCAAACCCGCTATACTACGCTTTAGGAAGTGGTTACACTTGGCCAATTCCTAGAGTGACAGTAGAAGTGAGTCAGGAGTCGTAACGATTCATCCCCCTAACATCTTAAACATATCGTGGTGGCTCTTCACCACGATTCTCAAGAGCATAACTGCTGCTCATCTTAAAAGTCTCAAGAGCATAACTGCTGCTCTATCTCAAAATGTCTCAAAAGGCCACGGACTGGCGCTAGTGACTAAAAACACTTAAAACGACTTCACCTTCTTAAAGGTGAGTTACTTCTTAAAAAGAACTTGTTTCTTTAACTTAAACTTACTTGTAAGTAAAGCACACAACAACATAAAACTGGAAGCATAACTCACACAAACCATATGACATCATATAAGCATACAAAGGCAAGTACGGCACATAGCAGTCAAATCTCAAAAACTTGAATACCGTAAGGCGTAGAATTTACCCCCTTTACACTCACCTTAAGTCGAAGCAAATTGAATTGAATCAACTATAGCAATTGATTTCCCTTCACTTGATCATCACATGACTGCTCGGAAACAACCCCACCATCACAAGGGCAACGTGTCCTAATGCCATGAAAAACGTTCCACAAGGATCTACCCCTAATCATAGCTTCACCCTCGTTGTTTCCCCACCGGTTCACATGGCTATTTTTTTTTTTTAATCTTCCCCGCAGTACCTTGCAAGTCTGATTCTGCTTCCACAAAGGCCCAACCATTGGAATCAGCAAATCCATCATTCTTAGGCAATAATCCAAAATTCACACGTATCACATCTGCATCACTCCACCTAAGCTTGAATTAAAGCCATTAGAATCTTGATATTTGATTTTCTCGTCTGGGACACCCGTAACAACAATTCCCCAAGCATCATTGCTAGAAAGCTCTCGCCTTCGACGGTCGTGAGACCGATCAAATCTCTCCCTGCTGCCTTCTCGATCATTCCCCCTCAATCCAACTGATCGCTCTCGCTTCCTTTCTCGTTCACGAGAACCCTCCCGATCGTCGTGCCTTGACGACCTGCGGTGGTGGTCGCGATGCTGACCCTCTCGCTTCGACCGGTGTGGTGGGGAAGAATTGCCGCCTCGATCCCTCGCCTCACCCTTGTCCAAACATCCATTGGAAATTGTGTCCATGCCCCAAACTTCCATTCGCCGATACCATTAGTACAGGGCAACGTATTTTCGCGGGGAGGAAAGATTAAGAGAGGAGGGATGAGGATTTGCGGTGCGGCTGCATGCTTCGGATTAGCTTTAGGTTTTCTTATAGGTGGTATTTAAAGTTCCATGTTGGTGGAATATCGGTTGTCGTGAAACGGGCACGTGGTCGGAGTATTGGTGCCGTGAGTGCAAAGGTGTCGTCGTAAAACGAGGACGCAGACCACCGAAAAAGTTGGGCCATGGAGCATTTGACCGCGGTTGGGACGTTCGCCGGTAGCTAGCTACGGACGAGGGAGACACGATCGAACGCTTTGGATCTACAACGGCAGAGGGGAAGGCGACGATGGGAAGGTTAAGGGATTCATTTCCTTTTTTTGGGTCGTGGAATTTATTTCCTTTTTCATTTTAATTATTAATGTCATAGAGTTTTATTATATTTCATCCTTGTCCTTGTAAGTAGTTAGCTAATGATTAATAGTGATTATCTCTTTCCTTCTCGGTTTAAGATCATCCTTAAAGAATGAGACTTAGGGACTGGATCCTACCTAGAGTAGGGCCATAACGTGGATAGTATCTCCCAAGTTTCAAAGCACGGCTACGTCGCAATGAGAACGGTGTGGTTATTGTTAGAGAGTGGTATAAGATCCAGCATAACCTTCTCCCAACAACTCGAGTTATTGGGATCAACTGGTTCATGACATGGTATAAGAGCCAAGAATCGAAAGGTCATGTGTTCGAATCTCCATGACTCCCAATATTAACCGTTGTCTTTCAAACACATGGTATGGTGGGCCTGTGCAAACTTCAAGCCAATGAGTTGGCCCTCGTTTGAGGGGGTTTGTTGTGTGACAATGCCACAATGGTGACCGAGTGACACAATTGATTTGAGGATTCACGACTAGAACCATGCTAGTTGTCCCTTCGCGGTTCATGATTGACAACGGTGAGGTCAAACCCATTTCATTTTTCTAAGTTCTAATTTGGCCGAGTGGTTTCGCACACGTGGAGTTGCGCAACTAGGAGAGTAGTTTACGCAGACACATCGACAGAACTGGAAACAGGGGAGACAAACAAGGAGTGCTTACTGCAACGATGAAAAGTGTACTTTCTATAAAACATCATAAAAAATGAGGAGTTGAGGATGGCAATCAAACCTCAAATACTATTGTCACAACCTATATTTCCTTTAGTCCAACGTCTCTATCAAAGTCTCCTTTACAGAGTCGCTGTAGATTATAGATATAGACGCGGAGCTCTCAATCTCTATAGGAATAGAGGTAACTTAATTTAGATTTATCGTTGTTCATCGAACATCTTAGTTCGAAATTATTTGATGGTTTGTTTCTGTTTGATCTGTTTGTTATATTCTTTGATAACATAATGCATTATAATTAGTAAATACTCCGTTTAATACATGTATATGTACCCGTACATATTTTATCCGTTCAAAACTTCGATATCCGTATTATTGTCAAGCCGTTTTATTTTTTTCCTTTTGTTTGATGGCTCCCGTACTAAACACGTATAAAACCCGTATAACACGTTTAATATCCGTATCTAATTAATTAAATTGTTAGCTTTACTATTATTTATATATTCATTTATTTTAAAAAATAATTAATTTAATATATTTATCACTATTAACGTACTATTAATCGTAGCATTAATTTAGAAACGAAGTAAAACACCCGTACATATTTTATACGTAACTTTCCCGTACCATATTTTACTAACTACACGTGTTTCCATGGTGAAATATATACCTATTGAACTTCATCATGATATAAAAATACAAATTCAATTATAGTACAATTAACAAGGACTCAATTAATTAACTTATATGATTGAAAACTTATTTATTTGATACTTTCTTTTGATTTCTTAGATTGGCTTGGCCCCGGAGTTATAGCAGATCAAGTCCTTTTTGGCATTTACCCAACGTTGGGAGTAGCTCAAGATACCGTGCATAACCATGGTTATGCACGCATCAGTAACTAAATCTGGACCCTTCATTCAGAAAATTCAGATCTAAGGGTGGAGAATTAAAAGCATTTTTATTTTCCATGGTTTTCTTAATCGACTCATATCTTCTTCGTTTTAACTCGGATTTCAATTTTTTTTGTATAGATGGAACGAGTTCGTTGTACTCTACAAAATAAGATCAATTTTCAATATTTTTTGAGAAAAAAATTTCTTGCCTCTCGGTACCGACTGCATACCATATGGTATCTTCTTCGTTTTTAATTCGTTTTTAAAAAAATTTGCACAGAGGAACGAGTTCATCATGATCTATTGGATCTACAAATTTCCGGGTGAACAAAATACGGAACCAAAAAAATACCTCACAATACCACCCTAGTACAGGGTGGTATCTTGTAGTACACAATGTTAAAAGTCGTAAATGACAGTTAATATATTTCTACTATCATGTATTCAACCATCATACGGTCTTCGTTTGTTCATACTACCATAGTACGCTTTTCATACCATAAGTATGCTCTTATTTCAAAAATATATAAAAATAGATATCAGTTTGAAGAGCGTAATTAATTTGATCTAAGTGTGCAAAAAAATTAATTTGTGACTTAAAACGATTGATAAATCGTTCGTTAAAGATTAAGAGGGGAAATTAAAGACTTTTCAGAAGAGAGATTGGTGATTAAATTATGCATGGTTACTCAAGATAAGATTATTTACTAGATCCGCTCGGAAAAGGAAAAGGCTAGTATTATTTAACAACCGTATTATTTGGATCGTACGCCGTAAAGCTTCTCCCCAACCAAGAATGAAAAAAGAAAAGATGAGAAATTCAAAGCGAAAATCCTCCCCCGGCGGCGATTGCCCCGCCGAGATTCCGGAGGAGGTTATTATGAGTGACATCTTGTTGAAGATTACGGACGGTGAGTGCTTGGGTCGATGCCGCTGCGTCTGCAGATCATGGCGCGATTACCTCTCGGCCCCGTCTTTGATCCGGCATAAGCTCCTCCTCCCAACACCAGATTCGCGTTCTGATTGTGAAATTATGATTCCCGGCTCCGTCAATGATGACTACCGTCTGTACTCTCCGGACACTCTGGAACTCCTGACGCCTAACTATTCCTCCTCCATTCGGGACCTTGTTCCTGACTGGCATCTCTGAATGCTGCTTCAGTGAGGAGTCCATGGTAACTCTTCTAAAGTCCTACGATCATAATACCAAGACCATGCGTATGGGAATATGGATGCTCTTGAAATATTGGGTATCAGAATCGTGGATCAGGTTGTTTGTAATTACAGAGCATCCTATAGTGGACATTGTTGATTCCGTGGGATTGTTGAGGAATTTGAGATGCTTTTTCTTGGGATGGATTAAGAAGAGCACTCGTAAACGCTGCATTAGTGTGTTTGATCTTGCGACAGTAGAACTGAATCATTTCGAAACATATAGACAATGTCCAACTAACATCACAAGTTATATACCTTGTCAATTTTCTCTCAGAGATTATGACCTGTAAATTCAAATCATATATAGTCAGATTTTTATGGACAGCTGTATGGTCTATGGATAACGTTCTTGTGTGGTATTGTCACATTGTCTACCGGCTCGATCGCAGATCTCGAAGGAGCTTATATGAGCTATATATTGTTAAATATCACGGATAGTGAATGAGTTGCTCTCAAAATTCGAGGAACTTAATTGACGTGCTCTTTCATCACAGTGAAAGAGGATGGCGATGAATACATGCATGATTGTCCTTCGCGAGGAGGTGGATGATAAGAAACTCTCATGTCCAATTTTGGACTAGAGATAGAATTGAAAAACACCCATCAACTAAACAACTTAGAGGCGCTTGTATTTGTTTCGATAGATATGTTTTCCAAACACTTGAATCCACGTGGATTACATCTAGACCAAATATAAGCAGGCTGCCTTGCAATCACATGGGTATGTATATTTTTTGACAAACTCGTTACCCTAAGACCTAAAAAACACGTGAGTTTAGAGAAGAGATCTCCTGAATATTGGTAGTTGTCATCAAACCTGGCAGAATACAATATAAAATGGGCAGAGTAGGAGAAAATGTAGTCCGAAAATCTATTTCAATCGCAGTGTCCAAAATGTAAATTTGAACTCGGTTTATTATTTAAGGACTGAAAAGGGAACCCAAAGGCAAGAAAGGCCTTTGGAATGAAAAATCATAATTTTTTTTGTTTTTGTTTTGAACAACCAATTTTTACTTTTCTCACTGAAATAACATAGGGTTAATATTTTCGTATGGCCTGAACTTTGACCAAAATAAACATCCTGGCCAATCTTTTCGATCTATAACATCCTGACCCGAACTATACACCAAAATAAAAAATTTGGCCAGATCCGACTTTTGACCGTTAACTTGGATGGTCAAACGCGTTGACCGTTAGTCAACGCGCCATGTCACTGCCAAGTTAGCATAAAATATTTAAAATAATTCATAATTCCACACATTCCCTCATTTTAAATTATTATAAATTAAAAAAATCATCTAATACCTTAGTTAAACCAAAAATAAAAAAACAAAAAAAATTAAATATTTATCAGATCTTCTGACTTGGCAGTGACGTGGCGCATTGACCGTTAGTCAACGCGTTTGACCGTCCAAGTTAACGGTCAAACATCGGGTTTGGCCAAATTGTTTATTTTGGTGTATAGTTCGGGCCAGGATGTTATAGATCGAAAAGATTGGCCAGGATGTTTATTTTGGTCAAAGTTCAGACCATACGAAAAAATTAACACAATAACATATTAAAAAAATGATATGATTCATTGGCATACCCATTTGAATGTAGAGCATATAATAGTGGCCCTCGATAATTAATGTGCATATGAATCATAGGGACTAGTAATCAACTATATGTTGATATTGGTGATGTTATCGTTGTTGTTATAATAGAAGTAATACCAAATTCACCTTCAGAAAAATCCAAAGTGATAAAAACGATAATTGTATGTACTTGTAAATAAGTTAAACGCAACATTGGTATAAATATACGATATGATGACAAATGACAATGTTGCAGTTGTCACTGATAAGGAAGGAAATTCATAGGCAACTCGAATTTTTGGTGCAATCACGCAAGAGTTGGGACAGGTGAACTCTACTAAAATTATTTCATCATTGCCCGAAATATTTTAAAACAAGTATTGTAAGTTGAAATAAAACAATTAAAGATGAGATCATCATTTCTTTGTACCTAAGCAAAAAGGAGAAATAATCAAATGAGAAGTAAATACACAAAAAAAAAGCTACTATGACTCACAAAATGATACACTACCACTGCGACTCGATAAAAACATTGTTACTTGAGTGAATGTGAGGCTAGTTGTGGACCTACCATGCTACGGTGTATACATCTAATTTCATCCATTATCTTCAGATTCCACCTTTCCTTGCATACCAATGTTTGCTAGCGAGATTACACATAGAATTAACACATTAGTAGTGAATTGTGCCAAAACTTATTTAAACATAGAATAAGGTAAGTTAAAAGTGAAAACATGGCATCTATATTTTATCACTAACCATGTGTAATTCACTCAATCACACAAGTGTTTAAGCCTTGATGTTTACGCTCGAGTTTTCCATTACTAGTGCTTACTTGAATCTTGCTCTTCAACCTCTATGGAACCGATCAGTTCCAGCACAAGGAAATCAAGATGACAATATACTGGTAATACATGTAAGGCTATGGGGTAAAGTGAGGTTTTAGAGGATGGAAATAGTGATGCTCATGAGCAATGCGCTACAAAAGTAGACCCAAATGAAAAACGTCTGTTAGCGCTGAAATTTCGCCTAGTACCACACCCTTCCACCAAACCTTCGAACGACAGCCCCAACTGCGCAGCGCTTGTTGTTGCTAACATCACCTCCAACCTCCGATGCATGTATTGGCGTGTGCTCCATGCATTTTCAATCTCAACTTCGGCCGCCAGATCTCTTTGTCCCCACTTTTCCCTTTTTCGACACATCGCCGCAAAATCCAATTTTCGGCAACTCCAAGTAAATTTACCACGCTTTCTTTACCTCTATTCTTTCATTTCCATGTTGATTTGTTCCGCATTTCTTCATATTTCTTGAGAATTCGAGTTTTAGGGTTCATATTTGGAAATTTTGTCGGTTGTTAAAAAATGACAAGTTAGGGAAGGAGAATTGCTCTAAATGCTTCACAGATGTTTTGTGATGGTGTGGGATTGATGGTTTGTTTCTGAGTTGGAAATTTGTTTGAATTGTGCTTGATAATGAATTATGGTCACCAAGTGGTTGTCAAAATGATTCGATGAACTTTTTTTTTTCGATGAACTTACCCTTTCAAGGGTTGGTTGTGTTATGTGTGTCTGAGCATTGACCTTGTTTGCCTTGGCAACTCAATGGTTTGTGAACGTATGTGGTTTGACACCGTTTGGGAAATTGTGTTTATGGTACATATTTCTTTGAGCTTTTGTTGCTCCTTACATTTTGTGCGTAATGTACCATTCCCCAATGCTTGTTTTAGGATAGTAATTGTGATTTATATGATCTACCAGTGACCTAGAATGACTTCATTGGGGTGGATTCAATCTCAATTGCCTTCAATCCTTTGCTCTAACCCTATTTACCTATTCTCAGCATCAAGGAACCAAGTCATATACCGAAAGCTCACTCTCGAGGGAACCCTCCATCTTGACCGCTTGCCTAAGCTGACACTAATAGCCCCTATATCACTTTTCGCCTCGAACATCAATCAACACAAATGCTTGTCAACCCGTTCACGAAGGCTTTGCAATCTACAATGTAATCTCCGCTCCATGGTGGCTAGGGAGGGCAGCCTGGAAGGTGACAAAGAGGGATTTGAACCTCTTCGCTATTCAGGATATTACAATGCCCATTTAGAATCAAAATTAAAGGACAATACCGAATTGAGACTAAATAACTACAGTTCAGCGTAATTTTTAAGCTAACCCCAGTACTTTATGAAGCTTAGCTCTAACCATTTAAGACGCCCAAAATACAACACACTTGAAGACAACAAACTAACCTAGCCATGTAAAAGAATCTAGAGTCAAAGATCAACGATAAGATTCAGAACTCCGAACTTAAATAGAAACGATAGCATTCTTCTGTTTGTAATTTCAGCTGCAGTTACAAAAAGGGAGAAAACTTGAGAAGATGAAAAGGAAAGAGGAAAAGAAAGAATTAATTAAGAGCATTCTGGAAGAAGTGACCAATACCAAATCTTCTTCCATCATTGTTCAACTTTATGCAAAGCAAAGCAATCCCACGGCCTAAATGTGTAGTGACTAGTTAGTGCTGCATAGACCAAAATGAAAAAGTGCAGAGTACTGCACAGTTGTTCAGGAGAAGAAGCACTTGAACATAATACAGGAATGATACATTTCAAAACAAACACACTTTTTAACATTTTGAGAGGGCGACTCCTGGTTCAAGACAAGCAAGATCAAGTTGAATGTTGACTTCTACTGAAATCAACGAGCGAGTAAATACCTATGGGGGGCTTTCAGAAGGGAGCTTCAAGTGATTCATCCCACACATCTCCACTTCCATTTGACAAATCTTCTGCATCGTCTTCCATTGAAAGCCTAATATACTCTCTATGTGCAAAACGATCCCACTCTGTCAATGTCGGATTCTCTCGTTCCTGAAACCAATATTTGGTTATTTATTTATATACCATCATCAATACACCAAGTCAAGCAGCCAGCAACTCAAATGATAGAATTTTTGTATTAAAAAGTCCAGCTGTGTCCACTTGCCTGACGAATTAGGAAAGGGTCCCGACTTTCAAAGGCGATGAACTTGTTGAGATTGAAAAGAATGTTGAACACATGCCCTGCAAGTTTGGTCCTTTTCATGTCGCGTAGTGTTACAAGACCGTCGGTCTGCATTATCATGCACACACAGCTTTTGAAACAGCAGAACTCCAAAAGTGAGAAAGAGTCCACAAGAAAAGATCAGCAGGTTACCTCTGGTCCAATCATATCAATTATCTGGCACAAAATATCTTCAAACAGGACCGGTTCTTGTGCCATGCACTCCATACGATGTAATTGTTCTTCATAAAAGAACTGCATCTCGTTAGAAGTGAGGACACCGTTCCCATCCAAATCAATGCAATTAAACCTGCGCCCAAATATAGTAGCATATTCCATAAAAAATAAGTTAACATAAGAAAACAGTAAAATCGCTAATTAGGCAAAATACCCTGAACCTTAAGTACAGACTGTCGCACTTGATCTAGCATTAAGAAGTTGATAAAGATCAAACTGAATAATTCAGAGGCACTAGTTAAGAAGATAAATACATGACATCTCTAGTTCTGAGGTTTCATGCACCTACTGTTTCGTGTTAGCATTCAGTTGTTTAATTGCAATGTCCCCCTACACAAGTTCACATAATAACCCCCCGAAACAGATCCAGAAGACATCAACCTTGCTCCACAAAAAACAACCGACTTTTGTATTGCACCCGAGTAAAAGTACATTACATATCAGTGCATAAATTAAACATTTCTTTTACAACTCTCACTGTCCAATTGCAACTCAGTATTTGATTCCATAAACAGCAAGTAAATTACCAGAACTCTATGCCAGGTTCAGAAGATTTATCCTCCTCGGAGAGTATGAAGTAGACAAAATCTTCATAACCCATCTTGCCTTCAATCTTGCTTCTAAATTTCCTGGCAACCTGAACAAGGGAGTCCAATATTAGTGAGACAGTAAGT